GCAATTTACATATGAATATTAATGAAAATTGTAGATATTTTTTATATATTTTTTAAAGAATCTCAAGCATAATTATTAGAGATTATAAATTAATTAAAAGGGCGAAGAGAAAGGAAGAGCTTAGTGAAAGAAGCTAAAGCAAAATGCGAAATAATGAGATAGAAAAATGAGAAGAAAATATTAAAAGGAGCACAACGCCATAAGAGATATTTATATACATTCCAAGTTGTTAAAAGCGGGCAGATTGTGGGTGGCTAAAAATAAGTTTTTGTTTATGTAAGCAATGGAATTAGGAATTGGAGTGTGGGGCCAACAAATATGTATATTTTCCAGTCAATTTATCCTGCCTAGTTGGCAAAGTCTCCCCAATTGTTATTGTTTATCAAGTCCGTATTAAACTAATAAAGTCGTTTGCTTAGCAACAGCAAGTATTTACGTACTTAAAATTTGAGGAGCAGCAGGAAAAAGTTCGCATCTCCTAAACGCCCTTCAGTTGCCTAATTAAATTTCTTGGCAGACGCGTGGTCGACGAATTGACGAAAACAAATTGTCGGGTCATAAATCATTCAGCACGAGGAAAAGTTGTTGCTCATGTGAAAAGTACAATATATGTTGTTCTCTGCAATTATTTCGTACTCTCAGTTTTGCAGGGGCCACAGTTATACAGTTTTTGCTGTATACTGTGGCCTATTTTGCGGCAGGCGAGTGCATTGAACCGACAATAATAATCGTTCGAGTTGGTCGCAGCAACAGCAGCGACCACAGTCAGCCAGATAGACAGACAGACAGACGACAGTTAGACAGACAGACAGACAGACAGTCATGCAGTTGGTTTGTTGTGCAAGTCCTGAGCAGGGCAACCAGAGAGCTCTGTCTGCCCTGTTTCGTTATGGAGTTTGCCTGACAACTGAATGTTCGGTTTTTGCTGTGACAAAGGCAAAGTCGGAGTGGATAAACTAAAATGCGATTTCTTTGTTCTTTAATTACAGCAGTCGGTGAAAAAGGAGAGGCAAATCGTCTTTCGAGGCTCGACTGACCAGACGCGGAAGACATCATCTGTGCACAGAGCAGCTCAGCGCCACCGAGAAGTGAGCCACTGAAGACCGGCCAACTGTTCGGCTCCATCGCTGTCCACGGTCAATATTAGCGCCATTGCAACTGCTGGGTGTGGGCGAATCTGCGCCCCGCCACCGGTAAGGCAGGGCCGAGCTCTCGCATCGCTCATATCTATGCATTCATATCGTTGACACTCACACACATGCACACACCTATACCATGCCACGCCTTGCATCAGCATCTGCACCACAGTTTTTGTTGTTTTTAGCTGTTCAGTTTTTTGTTTCTTAGTTGTTCAGCTTTTGCGTTGGGCTTAAATGCCTTTAAAGCTTGAGCCCACATAAGCCCGAGTGGGCCATTTGCTTATTGTGCGTGTGTTGGCCCACAATGTCGGCTTGAAAAGTTTCAAGTGCCTTGGGCCCAAGGGGCAGGCGCAGGCAATGCAAATAGAGCTCAATGGGGCCAGCAGCATGAGAAGGCCGAGCAGCGCTTTGACTACAAGTGTTTGGCATGCTTCACGGGCCCAACAAGGCGCCACTAAAATTCGTCATTGATTTTTTGCTTTACATTTTCCTTTTTATTTCTGCCAACTCGAGTCCACGAAAGACGCACCACACACAGAGTGCAGCCCTCGATGAGCTCGCCTGCTTAGCATTCGGCAGCCACTGCGGACTGGCACTTGCCACTTGGCACTTGGCACCTGTTGCCAGGCTGCACGTAATTAAATTAAATGTCTGCTATTCTGCTCTTGTCCTTTGCCACGCAATTACTTTTTATGTTCGTTATGCACATGTGCAAGTATTTTTTCATTAAGACTCACTCTCTTTAACTCCTTTAACGGAAATTTCTTTTGATTTTCATTTACCTCGACTCTGATTCCGTCCGCTCGACCATCGAAGCCACACAATATGTACAGTATATATAATCCTCATTGCCACTTCATGCTCTATAAACACACGTAAACCAGCTGGCAGTCTGTAAGTGACCCACCCGCATCGCATCTAGAGTCTAGCAGTTAAATGATCTGTGAACAATTTACTAATCGAGTTCTCAACGAGATGACATATGAAATTTGAAATTGGGACTCCCCATTCGAGAGTGCGTTCTCGTGCAATGCGAGAGTCGCGTTGCGAGCGCATGTTTGCTCTCTGTTTTACGATTTTTACCATCTTTCACTGCGTGAATTTCCATTCGAAGTGACCAACAAGCATACGCCCCGTGGGCCGGCAATTAAAGTGCAAAGAGCAACTCGCTCAGGGGTGAAATTGGGCAACCCAATGCCGAGTCAAGGCCCGCCCGGATCAGACCAGAGCCGTGTGCCCAAGTCTTTAATTGCATTTTAAGTTTATGTAACGCTTTAAACGTTTTGCCTTGGATATACTACATATGCTACATACATATATATAAATAATACAATTAAAGTGCTTACGTAATAGATCGATATGTTAGTCAATGTGTCAATCAATGCACTGCAACAGCAACAATTCGTTTACTGAATGCCCAAAATTCGCAGCACTTATTTGATAAGTTTAAATTAAATACTTTAAACTACTTTGTCTCTCTCCCCCGTTTCGTTCGCTCGCGTGCCGCACAGGAACCGAAAAGCAGCACCCTGAATTTCTCGTCGTTTAAATCAAGCTTCACTTCCAATGTTAATTTCCTGAAGAGAAGGTAAAGACCTTAAAAGGAAACGCCCCCTTCCCCAGCGGGAAGGGCGGCATCGGTTGGACGAGACTAATTTGAGATTTCATATGTTTGTCTATTTTCTCTCCTCCCCACGCCGCGTCACGCCACGCCGATTGTGTGTGCGCTCTCTCTCTCTTTCTTTCTTTCTTTCTCTCTCTCTCTCTCTCTCTCTTTCTTACTTGCTCTCTCACTCGATTGCGCTGCACCTTTCATTTGTCTACCGGTCGAATGGTTCGCATCTAAAACGACTTTACGATAATCACACCAACAACAACAACCACCACCACCACCACACCACACCCAAACACTAACATCTAATCCACATCCACGCCACACGCGCGCAGATTCAGCTCGGGAGACTTGTCTTCCGAGGTCGACGATGTCGATCCCAATAGCTTGCCGCCAGCTGCGCGTCCTATTCAGGACCAGCCAACGAAGCCGCCTGTGGCCGGCGGCCCACCGAACATGCCGCCGCCGCCGGCTCCGGGCCAACTGCCGCCGCAGCCCGCCGGCGCCGCTCCGGAGCTGTCGCTGAGCTTTGGCGCTGGCAAGGCACCGCCGACAGCGGCTCCGGCTCCGCCACGTGGCGTGAGCGCGCCCACCAGCCCGGCCAAGTCGCGCGAGAGTCTCCTGCAGCGCGTGCAGAGCTTAACGGGCGCCGCTCGAGATCAGGGCGCCTCCATATTGGGTATGCTATGGCTAGACAATAGATTAAATGTGAAACCAGGAACGGCCATCGTCGGACT